TATTGAAAATGTATGTTTTACAATTTGCAGTATGACGTTATCCATTGCTAAATTATGGCTCATCATCAGCCGATATATCAGAATATTGGATTTTAAAACCAACAAATATTTGTATCGGAATCGGCCTTCAAAATCCTTTATCGGTCGAGCTCTAGTTTTGACTTTTGTCTGTCAAAAAGGCAGTTATATGCATTCAAAATTAAATCCACAACAATAAAGTGTGCAAAAATATAGGGGTCTGAAAACTTTCTGAATCCACCATAGGTCAAATTTTTGTAGAAGTTCAGAAACCACTGTATGAGAAATTAAATATGTGATCCACAAGGTCTGAGTTTGCAGTCTCTGTCTATCTACAAACGACCTATCAAAGCAGCGCAGCAGCAGGTGGCATACCTGTGACTTGTAGCCTATTAGGGGGCAGGTCCTGAACGGGGAGGCTGCATGAGCGAGCCTGCCGGGCAGGCAGCGTATCGTGGCTGATGCTTTTGGCTCGCTTGCGGCACTCCACTGCCAGTTGGCTGCGGCAGGCTTTGTGACAATTCACTCCACACACTGGGGAAAAGAACGAAGAAATACAAGCACAGAAAGAAAATGCACAGCACTGGAAAGTACTCAAGGGTGCTTGAAAACTAAATAGCACATAATTATTTTATCTTAAGTGTTGTTTTTAGCTTTCCTCAAGTTGTTTGTTTCCAGGAACAGGGACTGGAGAGGATAAACTCTATTTGCTTTTTAAACATGTTACAACTGCTCTCTTTTACATTAACTTCTGGAGGCATATCAATGTTCACCACATAACAGTAAAATTGTTTCACACCTTTACACTTGTATCCCTGTTTGTAAAATCCCCATATCTATGAAAAGAGACAATGACAATTAGACACAATGTCAGAGAAGCCTCTGAGAAAAAATCCTGCTTTTCCTCAGACCATAGCTGAAGAACAAAAACAGGTAATAACTTTCATGAAACTTCTGTTTATACTCACAAAGCCAGCACAGTGCTCACAGAAGGTTGGTTTAACATAGGTGGTCTCCAGGAAGGTGTGGATGAAGCCCATTTTGCAGCTGAGCAGAGAGCTGGCCTTCATGAAGTAATTCATCATCTCCTCTCTACTGATTCTGCCATCACTAAGAAAAATAGGGGGCAGGAATTATTATTTCTTTAGTTTCTTCTTTTAAATAATTAAAAATATCTAAATTTTTTTTTTATTTGTTTACACATTTAGATAGCTGTTCCTGTACTGCACATTAGATGCTGAATTGTTCCGAATCAGTAGGAATATGCCCTGTTGGAGATTATCATTTCTATCTGGTTTCATTGGGCAATATGTACTTCAGCGATATTTTCTTGCAAACACACAAACACCCATCTATGCGATGGCTCGCCTTGGCCAACTCACTGATTCTGGTCCAGTTCACCAAACTTGCTGAGATATGGAAAGTTGTTCTGTATGATCTCAAATTCTTCCTGGGAAATGTAGCCATCCCCATTTGTGTCGAAATTCTTAAACACTGACTGGCAAAACCAAGACAAAGTTAATTTTTCAGAATAGATAACATAGACAACCAGTGTCTTACATCAATAAAGATTTTTTCTTGTTTTTATTAACTGGATTTCAATTATGGTACACAATGTTAATTAGTACATAACTGAAACAGACATTACCTCCACCATCTTCTCAATGTGCTTAGTGATAATGGCTGGGTCTGCTTTAGGTTTCACTGCTGATGCCCACTCATTAATCAACGATGGATTGGGGGCAGAATAACGGCTTGGAGCAGATTCCTGGAAAAAAAAGTAAATCAAACACAAAGGCCTTAGTACAACCATTATTTTTGGGAATCGCAAATACTTTCCATCATATACCTTGCATTAAAATTGAACCTGACAGAACTCACTCAAAATACAAATTCTTCCTCTAAAACTGTTAGTGTACATGGCAGAACATCATACATCATAAGTTCTCCTTTCTGACAATTTTAAGGTCCGTGTCGCTATTTACTGAATTTTATTGACTCTTTCAAAACACAGTACAGCGGTACAGCTGTTTCAAATGCTTTTCAAATTACAGTGCTATATAAATTAAATGACTGAACTGTATAATTCAAATATACTATAATACAGTATTTCACATAAAATATAGCTTATTGTAGTTTCGCTGCTACATCTTTTAGACTTATTTTTGGCAGTTTATAATAAGTTTGATGAGCTTATATTTGGCATTGAGAGAAAATGACTTTCTTTTTCCCCGTCATCTTTTCTGTACATGCAGCATTAGCCTCAGGTAGCTGGCCAGAAGCAGACAGGTTACCACAAGGCAAAGTAGGACTATCAAAGTAAAGTAAAAAAAAAGAAAAACAAAGAATTACCGCAGCTTTAGTTTTTTCATATCTTGTCATGTATAACAAACCCCAAAATGAACACTGTATGTGGACTACTTGACTACTAGGCAAATTATTTAAATAGAATTTGGACTGGAATGATTCTCCCAAGTTTTTTTTATTCATGTAAGAGGTTGATCACTATCATTACATGCGGTTTCTTGTTAAATAAGTCCATCATTAATGGTTATACAGGTTTTTTTTTTCAAATTCCCAGATGAACTCACTGTTGCAAGGTTCTCTCTGTAAAGACAACTGATAATTTCCTCCTCAGTATGGTACTGATCCAGAGATACCTGGCAAGACAAAAACTACAGGTGAAAACCCAGGTCACTGCATGATGTTATTAAGCACATGTGGCTCTGACAGTTTCACACAAAGTGAAGTTGTCCCCTTATTCTGCAAAATGATGAAGATCATACAGAACCCCAGGGCCACATTGCAAAATGTATCAAGGGAGACGATCGTGCAAAATTCACGATAATTTATTGAGAACCCAATTTGACTATATTTTACCAAGGGGAATCCCTCCCATCATCCCCTCATGAGATCCCGCATGCACCCCTGCTTTCAGCCTAAACCATTTTGGATTGCTCTGTGCAGTAGCCCTGCTATAGAATGGTGGCAGCTTCCTAATGTTGCTGTGACTTTTTAACTGATATTTCAACATTCCTTTGATAATGTGAAAAATTCATATTCGGACTATAATTAATCCATTCAAATTTTAAAGTGTCACTGTAGCCTATTAGCACATTAGAACATTTGTTGTGATTTTATTGCTGCTGTCTACCGAGTCCCTAAACAGGGTCAGGGTGGGGAAATATTGTAGCGCCAACAGGGATTAGCATATCTTGGCATGCATGTAGGAAATTGTGAATAGCCCCTTATTGTACTGTTGGTAATAGTTGTATTTCCTGATTGTGGCATGTACATTTGCCCATGTCTTATGTGAATTCCTGTCCGATCCTCGTATGTACTTAACTTTGTATAAACATTCCACTGTGTGTGTACCTTACAGTCCAGCGTCTGACCTCCTGCTGTTTCCACTGTTCTATTTGGTTCCAGTTCTTGTTAAGTGCCTGTGATAGTTCTTTTCAGGACTTCATAAAAGAGCGTTGTTCTCCCCTGATAAGAGCATACTTGTCATTTGCTGCTGCTGCGATGCCTCAGTCTGCCTGGTATTATAATATTTTTTGAAATAGTTTTGCTTTCCCTTGCAATACTTTTGCGATCCTTTGCATTGCATCAGTTTTGTGTTCCCACACAATACATTTTATGATCCCACTACACTTGCCCATTTAGTATTTGCTGCAAAATAACGGCAAGGCCATACCTAATACAGACATGTCCTGTAAAATGTGCTTTAAGAATTAAACTGTGGGGGATGAGGTATGCCATATACCTTTAATATTATGTGTTTATATACATATTTATTAATAATTGCACTGTGTCCATTCACTGTCAGTGACTTTAAGCAAGATATTGAATGTGAAATGCACACACAAACACTGAAATATATTACGAACATTGATTAAAAATTGGTTTGCAATATCTGAGAGAAAATAACATACAGAAATGTTTCAAATTTAAAACTATTTTTCATCTCACATTGTCTTACAATTGTTAGAAATGCAACTCAAACGTGTATAAGTTGTACAACATCATTCTCAGATATGCACTTGTACCTATATGTACTATTGCTAGTTCAGTTGCATGAAATGTTAAAAGTTAATACAATTAAGTGTCAATAAAATTGTTATTCTTAATTTTTCCATTCACAAGCTTATTAACACTGCAAGTGAAGCTCAGCATAGCTCAAAAAATGTCAGCCTGTTTTCATTTAATTTTGAATTGCACAGATGTCGTATTTTAATGTCTTGCTAAAATTGTATTAAAATTTCAAATAAAACATCACCATGAGAATCATATTAAAATTATTATTAGCCCAAATTATTTGTCTTTTTTTTCTCCTAAAAATTAAACAAATACATTTTCAATGATCTGGCATCCTGCACAAGATGTTAATTACTGAATCCAGTTTTAAATTGTACTTTTCAGAGAATGAAGTATGCATGAATCAGTGCAGTACTTTTAACTTCAAAATCTGCTCCATTAAAATGCAAGGCTGCTAAATTGCTGAATGTGATGAAACAGTACGCTGCTTATCTTTTCTTTTCATTTCTATATATTTCTCACTTGACTGTTTCAAAGACTTGCATCATGATCAAGTCTTCATGCATTGTGGAAAAAAACATCAACATGTTGCGTTTGGTTTTCACAAGACCTGGGAAAAAGCACCATTGCAAGGCCCTGAGATGGTATGATCTCAAGGACCTGTCATGTACAGTAATCCCATCACATTTGTGAAATGGACATTCACTGTTTTGGTTATTCATGAATTGGTGGTGAACAATTAAACGGGAATATATCTAGAGCTTGCTGAAAGATCGCAGAAACTCAGATAATACGTTAGCCAAAAACAATATTAAAAATGACTTAGAACACATGAAATCATATAATATATAATATTAGTAATTTATAGATACTTTATTGATCCCCCTGGGGAAATTGTTTTTATGCCTGTCTGCGAAGGGCAGCCACCTGTTGGGGCGCCCAGGGAGCTGGGGGTTAAGGGCCTTGCTCAAGGACCCACAGACGTGCTGAGGCTGGGTTTGAACCGGTGTTCTTGTGATTACACGTACACAGGCTTAGCCCACTAAGCCACACGCTGCCCCCAATACACAATACATGTTAGTGTAAGTGCACACGGTATCTTTAATATTAAACGTCTTGCCTTGGATAAACTATGCATCTTTATCTTGGCAACCAGCCTCACTTACGTAATAGCTCACGGTAACTTTTAAACTTTTCAGAGCTGTTGATTTTGCATATTTTTATAATGGGTTCAAAAAGTCATGTTTCCAGTACATAGAGTACTTACAGAGTACTTACAGAGGTCTAATCGAGCTGGTCTGAAAAGCAAAGTGTATAGTACAGTACTGTTTGCTTAGAAATTGGTAATACGTAGACTTTTCATGTTATCATTTAGGTTAGCATATCGATATAGGTTGAAGTTATGGGACCCAGTTTTATTTTTTTTGCCAATTTGTCACAGAGATCTTCCTCCCTAACTCTCAGTTCAGTTCAGTTCAATTCAAAGATTCTATTTGTATAGTGCATTTTCAGAAAATGACATCAGAAATGTGAAGGGTTTACTGTATTTTGAATGTCTGTATATTCATATTACAGGAAATACATTGATCATATGTTTGCTTCCATACTGACCGTCAGCAGGTTAAGAAGGTCAATGTTAGCTTCAATGCTGGGAGGCATGGTTTGGACCAATGCCAACTCCTGGAGAATGACATAAAGCTGTTGTGTTTTGGTCAGATTCACTCTGGTTTTCTCCGAATCAGTCCAGTCTGGTAAAGCCACATGCACTGCAATCAGGTCTTTAAGGTGCACTCCAAGGATGGGGAAGCGAAAGCCAGAGCACTCTGAGAAGCGGCGCCTGTACTGACTGTAGTTCCCACAAGATGTCACCAACTCTGTCAGGCTGTTGAAAGCCTAGATAGAAAGTATGCATAAGTCATAAATATGTCATGAATAAGCATTCTAAAAATAAAAAAAAACTTTCCTACAAATTATGGATTGTTGCTAGGGTGACCACCTAATCCATGTCAGGAGGGACACTATGAGCTACTTCAGCTTTTACGAACTACTTTAAAGCTGAAAGGATTCTGTGCTCTGCTAAAATGTTTGGTTAGTTCCTAGATTGAAAGAGTCATCCAGCTGTTTTGCATTAACATTACTGACACATATGCATGATTATAGGAGACTGACCAGTCAGCATACGGCAAGAGCCCAGTGCTTAAGTGAAATCCTGGTCCATTTAATTGAAATGTATGAAATGGTAGTTTACAAATCCTGTTGTACAGTAGCTCATAGTGTTCCTCCTGACATGGATTAGGTGGTCACCCTAATTGTTGCTACTACTAATACTAATACCATACACTGTCAAGTTTTAAAGATATTTTGAACCGGGGGCTATACTAGGATCTAGGATATTATTTTCCGACAGACAGGATCCCTACCATAAATCCAGGGGTTTGAAATGTACAGTGGTGCCTGCAGTTCACGAACACAATCCGTTCCAGGAAAGTGGTCGTGAACCAACTTGTACACGAACCAAGGCAATTTTTCCCATAAGAAAGCACTGAAATTTGATTAATTCGTTCACAAGCCTAGCAAATAATATTTTTTGTTAATTAATTTTATGGTTTTTATAGTAAAAACTCTATAGTAAAAACACAATCATTATAGTGTGCCGACGGGCGGACCGAGGCATCGCGGGAGCAGAGAGAGACATGGAAACTTGCTTGCCGGGGAAATCACACTCTTTATTAACAGTCCTTAACCCTTGTAATGTTATTGTTGTTAATGTTAACGGTTGCATTTCCCTATTGTCGCGCGTTTGTTTGCTTGTGTCTTGTGTGTACCCGGTCCGATCCTCGCGTGTATTTAGCGTGTGTAAATCTTCCACTGTGTGTGCATCTTGCAGTTCGGCGTCTGACAACCTTGTGTTTCCTGTCTGTGTATTTGGGTTTGGTGCTCGTTGGTTGTCACCGTTGTCTGTTGTGGTCCTTTTATTTACAATCGCACGCGGGGCATGCTGGGACATGCGCCCCGCCGGTGCTACACTAGTATAAAAAAGGAACCTGGCCGAGGAATCTGTTTGTCGACCAAATTTTGTACGTGAACCAATGCATTTTTTTCCACAAAATTTTTGGTAGCGAACCAAATTGTTCATAGACCACAGCGTTCGTGAACCGGAGGTACCACTATACAGTATATGGAAATCCGGGACAAATCGCTAGATGGTTTTCGAAAAACTATTTTTCAGGGGGCTGAAACAAAAAAATAGAGGGGCTAAACTGCCTATATATGTATTAAACAGAGTATCATTTCCAGTAATTTTATAGACAATCTGGTTATTTTAAAGTTGACCCAGCCAATAAATAGCTAGTAATAACAGCCTCATTTATCTAGCTAATCATTAAGTATAATACCAAGTACATGTGCAACAACTCTGAAATTAATCAAGAAACAAACAAATAGGCTATGTCTCATGTTGCATCTAAAAAGTAATATAGAAAATTCTCTTCTCCACTAACCTTATTAGTCTCACTGCTGATGTGTGCCTGAGTATCTTTAAGTCTGGAGATGGAGCTGTTACTTAGTCCCCCTACAACAGCCATCAAAGTGTTGAAGTTCTGCAGCTGCAGCAGTTTCTGCCAAAAAAGGCCAAAGGGAGAGATACCATTACTATTAAAAAACGCTTCAGAAAATGACAGCTACAATCAACAAATAGCCCTCCATTAATCCATTATAAACCCCCTTGAAGACCCTGTTCTATAATACACATGTCTTCATACACAAGTTAAACATCTCTCAATATATCTCAAATTAAAAAGAAAACCCATTAAAATATCATTGGCTCTAGTCTTGGCGCCAAAGCTGCACTGTGACCTTAAACAGAGGAAAGAACGAAACTTCAGTTCATACAGACATGTTCAACGTAAGTGTGATTAACATCACTGAATTACGGTGGCACTGAAGTTCAAAACAAAAAAAAGAACACAAAAACAAAAACTTGCAACTTGTATGGTAATAGTCAGAAAAACATATCAGTATGGAGTTAAAAATACTTGTATAATTAATAATATTAAATATTATTAAACATATCACTATAGTTTAATAATCTAATAAAACATATCTGAGGATGGGATTTTGCATGACAACAGTCATTCCTCAAGTCTTCCTGAGGAGATGCCAAAGATGGAATAACTGATGACATATTTCTGTAATTTACTGCCTGCATTTTCACCTCAGGACATTTTTGTTTTTTGTGTTTTCTTTTTGTTTTTGTGTTTTGCACTTCAGAACTGCCAGTTTTTGTTTCTGAATGCAGTATCTGCACTTCAGGGCTGCAAGTTTTTGTTTCAGTGCCACCATAGTGAATAGCTGTTACACATGTAAAGTATTTTCTGAAATGGGGCTTTTGAGGTTCCGAAGAAAAAAAACATAACATGAGTAGACAAAATGGTTTAACATCAAGACATGAGAAATATATGGTGATACAGGACACAATTTTGCCATAAGCAACTGAAGGATACAGAATGGGATTCATTCACATTTCACTCAGAGCAGCACTATGAAATCATTTGAGAAAGAAAAGATGAAAAGAGAGGATTAAGACAGATTGAAAGAGGAAGTGCCAGGCTGGCACGCACAGTAAGCAAGGCAGAGGAGCAGTGGGTGAGGGGAAGCACAGGAAAGGGAAAGAGTGGGGGGTGGAGGTTCCCCAGGATGAATTAAAGAGGATCCCAGAGGGTGGAGATAAGGCGCACACAGGGAGGCTCATGGGAGGCTACGACAGCAGTTTGCATTGTACACTTAGAGTATGCTTTTCACCTACGTACAATGCGTGAACCCATTAACGACATGGTTAGAATACATTGGCTTACACCAATGATTAAAGATTTTGCTCAGATATGACGTAAACCACCATCATTAATTTTAAAAATACTCAATTGTATAAACCACAGTATTTTTCAATTGTGTTCTATATCTGGAACATTAAGTAACGTTACATATAATTAAAAATTATAATCATGTATTTAATTACTACCATGTTTCACCTGACTGGCATCATGTGTGCTATTATAGAAAATTAAGCAATAATATTTGAGAATTAAACAGCACCATGGCATAAGACTAGTTATACCAGACTTTTAAGTTACAATTCTTTGTAATACAACACTGGATGTTAACATAAAAAGGCACATGTGACTGACAGCTAATAAAAGCCAACAGTAAGCATACAGTAGGAACAGACCTGAGCTACACTGATGAAATGAGTGAACACAGCGGCTCTCTGTGGCGGTGTGGGCTTGCTAAGGACCATGAGCTGGATCCACTGTGACACGCTGTTGAAGAGCGTGATGAACCTCTCCAGAATGGGGTTGTCCACAGTGCAGCCATGCATCACAAAGCTGTGGTAGTCCTGGAACTGGAAAATATTCCGGAGGAAGCCTCAGAAACCAAAGAAAGGCAGGGAAACCCAAAAAACACATGCATAGACATCATTAAAGTAGTTCCTCCTCACGGATGGTCAGATAACCATCATACCAAGATCTTGCAGAAAGATTTATACTCCAAGTAGGTGAGGTGCTCAGCAAGTTCACAGGAGTCCAGGTGATCAAAGAGTAGTGACATCTTCCTCTTCTTGGAGACAGAAGTAACACGACGTGTTACTTGTCGCTTCCATTCAAAGGATGGGCTGAAAAGAACAAATTGTGTCACCAAACTGATCATCCATCCACCCATTTATCTTGTGAAAGGTTACAGAGGAGCCTGGATCCCCATCTCAGGCAACATGGGGCAAAAGGCTTACATGCACGATGTGTCAGGCAGGATGCCAATCCATTACAGGGCAAATGCATGCACATACTTACACAACTATGTGCAATTTAAAGTCACCAATTAAACTAATTACATGTCTTTGGACTGCAGGAGGAAACCCTGCATGACAGGAACATTATACACACAAAGAGCAGAGAATCTAAACAACAACAGCTGCTCTCTTCATAAAATCATCTCTTTTTAAGCTTGATTTCTAAATTTCTAAAGCTGAAGAGCAGGCTTTAACTAGTGGGTCTATTCTCACTGGATAAGCCACACATTAGGATGCTCTGCAGGGCTGAGTAATTGCATATTTAATGAGGAATCCATCCATCCATTTTTCATTACTGTTTTTGTTGCAATAGGTCTGGGGTCTGCTCAAGCAAGCACATGAGACACCATGAATGGGATTGTCAAACCAATGCAGAGCACACACACAAACCCACTACAGGCAATTGTGAGAGATCAGTCTGCAGGAAACTGAACTGCCCGCAAACTGAAACACACACAACACTGGGAAAATGTGGAAATTGAGAACATATTCCTGGTGCATTTAGAGCAGAAACACATAGGAGAGGTTTCCCAGACAGGGTTTAGTTTAAAGACAGAAGGCCCTAGTCTAAAATGCTCAAATAATCATTGTTTAAAAATAGTTTTTCTGAAACACAGCTTAAATTTGCATTAGTTAATCCTAGACTGTGGAGTCCTTGACTAAGAGATGATGGATATTATTAGCCAACCTTTAACTTTAATATTTCAGAAATCCTTATCCTTATCGTAGCTGAATGGCCTCCTCTCGTTTGTAAATTTCTTATGTTCTTATGTAACCACTTATGTTAATATTCTTTGGTTTCGGTGTGGGGACCTGGCACTGGAATTAGGGTGCTCATAAAAGCTGCAATGGATCATTTGGGAAAAAGGAACATGATTAATAAAACTTTACTGAAAAAGCACTATTGAAGCAAATAGTGTCAAGACATCCAGCTATAGAAGACAAGATAAATCTGCACTTAAATAAAGCCATAAACACATACATTTCCTATGGACACAATGCTGATGAAAATAGTACTAAAAGGAGAGTACAACAACTACAGGTAAGATTCTTATGTTCATTACTTCACTCAATTATAACATCGGGTTCTCCAATATAGGTCCTGTGGTAAAATATGAAAATAACCCTTAAGAAGAACATTGCAGTGGCCTGAAGTGAAGACTGGTGGTGGACCACCAAAAAAGGATAACTTGACCAGCTAAATGATTTGCTGTCAGGAAAAAGAGAGTCCTGGGGGAGTGATAGAAAAGGAAATAACAGTTCTGCAGACACAAAGGACAGCCAAACTTCCACACCTGCATTTTTTTTTGTTTTTTTTTTGCTGTATTTCGGTATTATGAACAAGTTATGCTGAGCCTACCCACTATCACCAAGGAAAGTTCAATTATGGTCACCTCTTTCAATCTGAGCATACAAAAAGAAGTTGAGGAATATTCGTGAATCATGCACCTTTCCAGCGGGCAACAATATTTGAGAACTGCAAATATGGAGTGCATATACCCTGAACATTAAAAGAAAATCAGTTCCTGTACTCCTTAGCATCTGGTGTTGAAGGACACTTGATGGTAATATGGCATCCATCTATACAGCCAATCATGCCCAGGAAGTTCCCATATTCACAGAATTGTAATTGTATTTAGCTTGACCTGCAGCTTTAGAGAACTTGATGTAGTGACCCTGTAGTTTACCAATGACCCTCCAGAATTTATTAACTAGTTTACGTACTGTCGCTTCACAGAAACCACATAAATCTCCAGTTTCATGGTAAAGGGCACAAAATGCAGAAAACCTTAAAGTGTTTGGAGAGAAGGGAATATAGGCTTTCCTATAGGCTCTATGATAGCAATACCAGTCTGGGCTCCAATAGTGAAAAGATTTCAACATTTTATACATGTGAAAACAAACCCTAAAACTCTCTAAAACAAAAAAAAAAGATCAACATTATTCAGTGGGTTACTCCGGTCAATTAATATCTTGTTGATTTCCTCTGCCAGCCCCTGGAGGATGGGCTCCCCCGGAGTTGGGTTGCTCCCAAGGTTTATTCCTTCTAGGGAGTTTTTCCTTGCCACTGTCACCTCTGACTTGCTCACTGGGGGCTTTGGGCATGGATAATGAGACAATGCACTTTGAGACAATGCAACGCTGTGAAAATGCACTATACAAATACTGAAAAAGTCTAGGTAATCCATGTGTCTCCACTGACAGACAGCATTAATCTGGAGTTAAATCTGCCAAGTTGGAGGTTTAATTTAAATCAGCATTTACTCCAGTAGTACAACCTGAATTCTGGAAAAGTTGGAAAGTTCTTTAAATTTGAATAAAATAAAAACTAAAAGACTTTCAAATCACATGAGCCAATATTTTATTCACAACAGAACATAGATAACACAACAAATGTTTAAACTGACTGTACAATTTTATGCACAAAATAAGCTCATTTCAAATTTGATGCTTGCTACAGATGCATTTGATGCTTGACGTATTTTTCATTTAATGATGCGCCAAATGTTCTCTATAGGTGAAGGATCTGGACTGTAGGCTGGCCAATTCAGCACCCAGACTCTTCTCCGATGAAGCCATGCTGTTGTAATAGCTGAAGACATGTTTTGCATTGTCCTGCTGAAACACACAAGATCCTTCCCTAAAATAGACGTCATCTGGAGGGGAGCATATGTTGCTCTAAAACCTTTATACTGTATACCTTTCTGCATTCATAGTTCCTTCCAAAACATGCAAGCTGCCCATACCGTATGCACTTATGCACCCCCATACCATCAGAGATGCTGACTTTTGAACTGAACACTGATAACACGCTGGAAGGTCTCCCTCCTCTTTAGCTCGGAGGACACGGCGTCCGTTATTACCAACAAGAATGTTAAATTTGAACTCGTCTGACCATAGAATACTTTTCCACTTTGAAACAGTCCATTTCAAATGAGTCTTAGCCCACAGGACACGATGGCGCTTCTGGACCATGTTCAAATATGGTTTCCTTTTTGAATGATAGAGCTTTAGTTGGCTTCTGCAGACAGCATGCCGGATTGTGTTTGCTGACAGTGGTTTCTGGAAGTATTCCTGGGCCCATTTAGTAATGTCACTGACATAATCATGCCGATGAGTGATGCAGTGTCGTCAGAGGGCCCGAAGACCATGGGCATCCAATAAAGGTCTTCAGCCTTGTTCCTTACGCACAGAGATATCTCCAGTTTCTCTGAATATTTTGATGATGTTATGCCCTGTAGATGATGAGATTTGAAAAGCCTTTGCAATTTGACGTTGAGGAACATTGTGGAATACTTTAAAAACAATCTCTTTATGCACTCTTTCATAGATTGGAGAGTCTCTGCCCATCTTTACTTCTGAGAAACTCTCTGAGAGATCCCTTTTATAGCTAATCATGTTACAGACCTGATATTAATTAACTTAATTAGTTGCTAGATGCTCTCCCATTTGGTGCCCCCGTGCCAACTTTTTTGGGACCTATAGCAGGCATCAACTCTGAAATGAGCTCATTTAGTGGATAAAGGTGTACAATTTCCCAGTTTGAGCATTTGTTATGTTATCTATGTTCAGCTTTGAATAAAATATTGGCTCATGTGATTTGAAAGTCTTTTAGATTTCATTTTATTTTATTCAAATAAATAGAACGTCCCAACTTTTCCAGAATTCGGGTTGTAGTTGTAATCATCCTTCAGAAAATTGGCTCTATTAATTCAGGACAAGGCTGAGTCTAAAACTATTTCAAACCATGACTAAGAAAGTAGATCTGTTTATCTAAGGACTAAATTAATCTGGTTTACAGGCCTTTTTAGTCTGACTAGGCTTAATTTCTGTCTGGGAAAGTACCCAATACTGTTACCCGTATTCACTATGGATAATGTCCAGTCCATAGTTTCATTGACTATGCTAAATACATGTGGCATCAAAATTAAACACAGTATTACAGGTATGCAACAATAAAATAACCATCCACTGGTATAAACATAACCGTTGAAAGAATTACACCACTTCGTTTACCTGCAGAGTCATCTGACTCTGCTATTTTAAACTGAGGAAAAAAGAAAACACAGACAACAACAAAGAAAAATAACCATTCATTAAATTAAGAGTTAACTTTCATATTATTATAACTGATATTTTGTATGAATATGCTGCTTACTCAGTAACTAGAAAATGATGAGTAGAGAAATATATACCCGTGGAAAAAATTAAGAGACCACAGCACAGTTTTTTGTTTCACTCATTTCTCAATTTATGGGTGTGCATCTGTGAATAATACATATTTTTCTGCAAACTGCAGCCTGGTTCCTCCCTGTTTCTCATTAATGAAGGGCTTCTTCCTCGCTTTATTGGACCTCAGTCCTGCTTCCAGGAGCCTGATACAAACTGTCCTAGCAGTGCACTTCACACCTGCACTTAATGTTTCCCATTCCTTTTGAAGGTCATTTGATGTCATCCTTCGATTCATGAGAAACTGTCGGATAAGTTAACGGTCATCTCTGGCATTAGAATGTGGATTCCGCCTTTTACCTGGCAGGCTTCTCGTCGTTCCTATTGTCTCCTGCTTCACATTGTTCTCATGTACTGCGGTCTTAGAAATTTTGAACCTGAAAGCATCTTGCTGCTCAGTGTAGCCTTCGGCCAGTAGATTCACAATTAAACCATTATTTAAAAATGCAGATTTGTTTAAAAAATATAGAGTGGTCTCTTCATTTTTTCCACAGCTGTATATTATGCTTAGCATAAGGACAGGCAGTTGGTTCTTTTATCTTATCTCTGCTGCAGTACTGCTATTTTTATTGTCTACACAAACCTTTATTTTTCATAGAGTCAAAAATATTATGCATTTTGATAGCTGGCAATTAAAACACTTAATTTGTTGCATTATCAGCGATAAATGAAGAGGCCCTGTGTGATAAGTTGCATTGGGAAACTCACACATTCTCAATGTCAATCAGATCACTCTGGCACTCATTGCCCTCGCTGGTGAGCAGATCCTTGAGGCCTTTGATCTGTTCTGCTAGCTCTGGGTTCAAATTGAATTCAGCAGGAAATTCAGAGATCCAGTACCTATGGTGAATAACATATGGACTCTTTTTAAATGATTCACAAACAATAAAACAGGTAATATGTACTGATTCAGAATATATAAGATTCTATCTTACCGGACCAGGTGACAGATTTTTGTCTGCAATTCAACTGCAACATTCTCCTCTTGAAATGTGCAGAGTCGTCAAGGAGACCTTCTGTTTCTCAGGTTCTCTTTGGCTACTGTACTCTAATGGCTAAGTTAATTTTGATTCAGTTTTTTTAAATGAGTTTTTATTTTAATATGTTTTTTTTTAATTGCTTCTGCTTATTTTTTATTACTTTTACCACTTTAATTTCACTTTGTATTTCTACTGAGATTCATAAATTGTTTTCACTTCTCGCCGACTGGGATGAGGGAGATTTGGGGGAGGGGGGCATGGTGATCGATTGTGTGGTCCATCATTGTGTTTCTCTTCGGATGCTAGTTAAATACCCCTAACATTTCTCTTAACAATATGCGGACCAGATTAATAATGAATTATACATATCACTGGCTGGGATTTTGGTGAAATGCTTCATCCTCCTCTACAGAAAATGGCTCATCGTCCCATGCAATAATCTCCATTATTTTAATAGTTGTCTTTAGCTCTGGTGGTGCTGACTTTGAATACTGATAGTGTTTAAATATTGATCAAGGCCGTTATCTAGATATTTAACATGTACCCAGCAACACCGATATTTTAGCAGATATTATGCATCTCTAAGTCATTTTGTCATTTTCAGTGGTATTGCCCATACCTAATATAATCTTTTCAAGTGAAACACTGTTTAATCTCATGCGGGCATATGTAATTTCTACTCATTTTTATTATTTCAGTTAGTTTTGGAGTTTGCAGTTTTAATTTCAGTTTAGTTTTTATGTCTCACACTTTTGGTTTCATTTTAATTCTGATTAATGAAATGCCTTGGATATTGTTTTTGTTTCAGTATTCTTTATTGATAATAGCCTTGCTACTGTGCTAGAGCCTAGCGATAAAATAAATGGAAAAGGTGCTCCAAATGAGGGCTGTGAATGAACAATGAAAAGCAGGTACAAGGATACTTGAGGAGCAGTTTCCTGGTAAGGTCAGTAGAAGAGATGTACCACGGGTGCATCATGAGGACCATGCGCACGAGAGATGGGTCCTGCAGGACACCCTTGTCATCTGAACACAACAACAGCAGCACTGTTTATCACAGAAACTGACTGCTCTTACTTTAAATAATCTTAAGAACTGCTAATAGATATTCTTCTCATAGAGCTGAGATGGTACAAAATGGGTAGTACTGACCAAAGGCCTTGATGCAGGCATACACCAGTTCATCCACTGTTGCCGAATGGTCTGAAAACACTGGGTCCATCTTCCCACTTCTCTTCAGCCACCGTCCTGCTCTAGTACAGTCTGACTTCTGTGTCCCTCTAATTTGGTTTCATTTCCTTTAAAACAGAAAAGCAACAAATATAATAGAAAAGCAATAAATAACGTTTTCCAGCTGGTATCATATCTGTGTAACCTTTAAACTTGGTCTTCTGATATCACATTTTTGTAACTTTTAGATGTGTGAAAAAACAGGAAATCTGTCCCCCGAAGAGCAGACAGAGTAGGGGTTGCAATCAAATCCCACACAGCATACATTTTACATTACACTGTTTTTCTCTATCATTCATCATTTAGTCGCTTATACTGGTCATCACAGGGAATATGCAGACACAAAATCATACAGTATGGGAAAGGTGAGATTAGAGCCCCCAGTGCCTCAATCAATACAAAATTGAGTATATGCTATTAGAATCCTGAATTCATTTTAATTGGCTGCTGATACACTACAGCAAGGATTTCAATCTGCAGTCCTGGAGGGCCGAGGCTGTGCACATTTTTGGGATTCCCTTTATTTAACACACCTAATTAAACTCCTTGCTACTCCTTGTGCTAATTACTACACAGCTCTTGAGCTGAATCATTTGTGGTAGAACAGGGAAAGAACAAAGCGACACAGGGCTCCGGCCCTCCAGGACTGAAGTTGACACTCTTGCAGTTAAGAACGCAATGTTATGTTATGGAAAATATCGATATTCTTATTGAAAATATTGATACTCTAACTGATATTTCTTTGTTAATTCAAAATCACATTAAAACGTCAGAAATGTCCTGCAAAGAACTAAATTACAACATTAGCAAAGTAGTATTTACTAGACTTTGTTTGTGGTACAGTTATTCAAGTTTACAATAATACAAGCATTACATATGCAAGTATTGGAATGTTCACAAAGTTTAGCTCTAGAAAATATAGAGCACAAGACAGGATGCCACAATATATGGTATCGCACAAACTCTGTTCACTCCAATGGACCATTTTTTACAGTGATAGCGGATTATAAAATATAGCCACACGTAACATTAACAGGCCTCTAAACTTAATTTTTTTTTCAGGGGGCTGGGAGTAATGTATAAGATTGAAGTGTATGATTGTAGAGTGGTGGGTGAGATGGTGAAATGAGGATGTGCATTTCTCAGTACAAGCTAAACTTACACAATAATCAGGAAGAAGGCTACTTTTGTAATGTATCACTATTGAGACTTCTCAATCCTTTATATATACAGTGCCTGACAAAAGTCTTGTCGCTTAACCAAGTTGTAGGAACAACAAATAATAACTTGACCTGTAGTTAATCAGTTGGAATCAGAAATGGCTTATAAGAAAAGGCAAAGCCCTCTAGATTATGCTTATTATACCAAAATAAAGTTTTGCATCATTCATTGAGTTTTGTCA